AACTTTGTCATACCTCAATCAAAAACAGTCTCAGATTTCAACAGTTTTCTGCCTTCTACTATGCAGTTATGGAACAATTTACCATTAGAAACAAAACGTATTGTTTCCTATTCAAGTTTTAAGAACATCCTAAAGAAACCTGTAGATAGAATAAGGAATGTGAAGACCTTAAATTATGGTAATCACAAGGAAAACATTATACTTTGCCAAAGTTCTAAGAAATGAATAAAGTCATTTAAATGCCCACCTGTATAATCAGTACTTAACTGAAATAGCATCTTGTACTAAGTAATCAGAGAGAGGATAACTATCAGTCTTGCCTATAATAATCAGAGAATGATACTCTTTGAAAGCCTTCAGAGTATTATAGAATTAGAAACCCTCTCTCCTGATCAAATTTTGCATACTTTGCTGTTTGGTGATAAGCAATTACCAAATAAAATTAATTGTTCAATTTTCGAAGCAGTCCAACAGTATATCAAGTTTTCAAAGAGATATATTTGATATTATTTCATTGTTGAAGATTTAATTAATTTCCTAAAATTTTTATATTTATACTTCCTTAAAATCTCAGCATTGTCATGTATATGTTGTATTTTTCCTCGAATATTTGTCTTTTGCACTTTTTTTTTCATTTTTTTCTTATCAAGTTTTGTTGCTTGTTCCAGTTTTATTTATTTATTTATTATTTTCTCCTTTTTGTATTTTTCCTGGCATATTTGTCTTTTGCACTTTATTTATTTACTTATTTAGTTTTGTTGTTTGTTTGCACTCTTTTATTTTCTTTTCATTATATTGTACAATGAGAACACATGCTAAGTAATAACTCTTGTGTATAATTTATCTTTTTCATTTCTTCCTTTTTCTTGTTTACAATAGAAATTAATATAACTTATTATGAATTACTTCATCATTGTAAACCATTGTTAATTCTTAACAAATGTAACCTTGACCTTCTTGGAGGGGACTTATATAGGCCATGCCTAATGTCCAATCCAATTAAGTAAACTGACTTTACATAATAAAATACTGATTAAATTAAATTAATCATCTCCTCTGATAGGCCTAAACTTTACGACGATGCCTTTCCATATTGGATTATTTTCGATCTTTTTTTACATTTACAAGCTACATATATGACCCACGTCGTATGCAGTTAAGACGCTCACAATAGTCCCACTCCTAAGTCCAGCTAGTAGTTATCATGTTCCGAAGTCCGGTCAATACTATATAAATGCTTAGTCTATGTATGCTTGTCATACTGTTTCAATATTTTAGACCAAACCACAAGTATTGATCCTGATCCTGTGGTTCATGAAATACCTGCATCTCATTGGCCACCAAAGGACACACCCCTTTTGACAGTCAGTTCAAGTGCTTATGAGGTATTCAATTCATATTCAATTTATGTATCATGACTTACTATATTACATGTACCTGGAAGGATAATTGAGTCCATATTCCTGAAATTATTATAACACCACAGGCACTTGACGTCACATATTTTCCTACCAAAAAATATTAACCCCATACCTTATAAGGTATGGTTTTATTTTTAATCAAACAATAAAATGCTTTCTTTGGTTTTAAGTACGGCAATTAATGTTGCATCTGTTGAGAAAATAATTAGATAACCCGCTTAAGTGAACGTGCATGCGTTATGCATTTTTCTGCAATAGCTCTAACGTTAATTCCCGTACTAATAAACAAAGGCATTTAATTGTTTTTATTTATATCATTCTGTATAAATAATCAAACTACAATTAAGTACCTGCAGATCTGTAGCTCGCAAGTCTGAAAAAATTGATTGGACGACCAGAGACCATTAAAAAAGGTGTATATATTTATTTCGCACAAAAAGTGCGCTGTTTCTCGATTTATTTCTCCGTATATTTAAACTGCCATCTACAAATATTACTAATCTTGTGTTCCTTGCATATTCCTTTACTATTTCCACAACAAAACATTCCCCATAACTGGGCCTGAAATTGAGACCATCGAAAATTTCGCCTATTTTATACTGCCATTTTGAGTGGCAAGATAATTCCGTCCAGCGCGCTTCTTGCGTATGTAGACTACAAGAGTAGTTGACCGAGGTGTAAAGAATTTTTTGAAATCTAGCTTTTGTGCAGTTGGAGTAAGAAGAACCACGCACGCTAACTCTAGATTCCCGCCTACATTTTATACTCACTTAATTCGATACTAATGGCTATTTGACAGTAAAATCTTTGTTGAATGCAAATAACAGTTCAATGGTAATTGACTGATAATTTTAATGCCAGTGTTAAATATTTAATTACCCCTAATTCCAACTCTGAAAATAAGGGGGGGGGGGTAGACGAAATTTTCCATTGAAATCGGGCTTTAAAGCATCAACACATTTTAAAATATTCTTGGATATGAATAAATGTTCCTTAAATCTTTTCTTATGTTTTACGCATATATAAAATTAACCATATATTATTAATAAAATGCAATATTTTGGTTGTAAAACCCTTTTAAATTGGTGAAAAAATAAGCATTTTTGTAGTTTTTTGTCTGTAAACATATGTTCCCCCGTGAAACACAAAAAGCTTTTGTATGAATTTGCGAAATGACAGTCCATATTACCTGTAAAAAGGAATTTTTGTTTAGCGGGGGGGGGGGGTTAAAAATATTTTCCCTTTTCCGTTAATTTCTATAGTGAAAAACACAAGTTTTACCCAAATTATAGAGATGTCTCTCTTTGTTTTCCCAAAGAAGTAATGTTTCGTGAAAATTCATATAAATATCTATATAAATACGAAAAATCATTCAAATATGTTAACTTTTGAAAATTGACTTGGAGGTAGGCGGGAGAACAATGCTATCGTTCGCAGTTCTTTGGAAAAAAATAAATCCAGAATCGAGCGCAACTTTTTGTATGCAATAAATATACGGATGACACTGTAGCTCTCCAGTCTGTCATTTTTATGCCCCTGTATCGAAGATTCGGCGGTATATAGTTTTTGCCCTGTCCGTCCGTCTGTCTGTCTGTTTGTCTGTCCGCAAAAACTTTAACATTGCCCATAACTTTTGATTGGTTGGAGCTATGGCTTTCATATTTCACATGTGTATTCATTTTGACAAGACCTTTCTTTGGGTACCACCATATTTGACCTTTTGACCTTGGAGTTTGACCCAGTTTTGCAAAATTTTCCCCAACTTTAACCTTGGCCATAACTTTTGAACGATTGGTGCTAGGGCTTTCATACTTAGCATATGTAATTCTTGTGATAAGACCTTTCTTTGGATACCAATAACTTTGACCCTTTGACCTTGGAGTTTGACCTACTTTTGTAAAACGTTAACATTGGCCATAAGTTTTGAACGGCTTGTGCTAGGGCTTTCATACTTCACATATGTAATCCTCGTGACAAGACCTTCCTTTGGATTCCAACAACTTGGACCCTTTGACATTGGAGTTTGACCTACTTTTGAAAAACTTAAACCTTAGCCATAACTTTTGAATCGCTGATACTAGGGCTTTCATACTTCACATATGTAATCCTTGTGACAAGACCTTTCTTTGGATACCAACAACTTTGACCCTTTGACCTTGACCTTGGAGTTTGACTTAATTTTGGAAAACTTTAAACTTGGCCATAACTTTTGAACCGTTGGTGCTAGGACTTTCATACTTCACATATATAATCCTTGTGACAAGACCTTTCTTTGGATACCAACAACTTTGACCCTTTGACCTTGACCTTGGAGTTTGACTTAATTTTGGAAAACTTTAAACTTGGCCATAACTTTTGAACCGTTGGTGCTAGGACTTTCATACTTCACATATATAATCCTTGTGACAAGACCTTCCTTTGGATACCAACAACTTTGACCCTTTGACCTTGGACTTTGACCTACTTTTCGAAAACTTTAACCTTGGACACAACTTTTGAAAAGTTGTTGCTAGGGCTTTCATATTTAACATGTTTTTCCCTGTGACAAGACCTTCCTTTGGATACCAACAATTGTAATCCATTGACATTGACCTTGGAGTTTGACCTACTTTTGAAACACTTTAATCTTGGTCTGTCCCACTTGGTTTTCCGCACTTTTCTTCTAAAAGCTTGCAGATATTGAGCTGATTTTTGGTATGTGAGTGTATCTTGACGAGTTACAGATCAAGTTTGCATTTCCTTTCGCTTCAATGATTTTTGACGGAATTACGACCTTCTCAGTTTTTCAGGGTTTTCCGCACTTTTTTTCTAAACGCTCGCAGATATTGAGCTGATTTTTGGTATGTGACTTTACCTTGATGAGTTATAGATCAAGTTTGTATTTCGTTCCGCTTCATTGATTTTTGACGGAATTATGGCATTTTCAATTTTTAACGGGAACCAGATTACACTTGCCGGTAGGGGACTAGTATTGCTAATGCAATACTGTTTCTGTATAATCTGGTTTGGTATGGGGACTCCCCCCCCCCCCCCCCCCGACAACCAGCTGAATCATCTGTATCCATACAATCCTCTCATTTCCAGTCCTCGGGATTCGTGGAAAATTCCAGATTTAATAAATGTACCTTTAACTTCAAACAATAATTCGATCTTACCACATGTAAACAAACAACAAGGCTGCTAGGCCTATGTATAAGTTTTTACCTCCCCTCGCTTCCCATCACTTCCGTTACTACGGTTGTATTATTAAGCGGCAAATTTGAACTAACAAAAAGCAACAAAATTTTACACCCATAGTTTTTTAATGATTTTAAAATTACCTTAACCGTCTGCTAAAGGAGCCCCCCCCCCCATCCAAGGCTTTTTATTATATGCTTTCATGATTTATTTTAGGAATGAATCTAATTCTTGGCCAAATTATTCGCTTCGCGGATTATAAAACAGCGTAAACTGACCCAAACCAGGTTATATTCGAATAATTTGGCCAAGAATTAGAGTGGGCATTACAATAAAATGGATCATATCCAACTTTAAGGGGTTTATAAAGTAATTTAAATTCAAAAAAAAATATTTAGGGTTCACTGAGTCAGACTTTACACTTGTCCAGCTTTACTGTGACGGATAACTATGAAATGCGAAGAATTTTACATAAATTGGAGCGTCTTCCACCAGATCAGAGAGAGATCCTTATGAATAATATCGATCCCGAGGACTTCAGTCCACAGGATTTTATCAAAATTCGCACTCTCTGCGACCATAGAGCGATGGAATACCTTCAGGTAGGTGTTATTTTTCTTAATAAAGCAATATAATATTCTTCATTTTTTAATAATGATTATTTGATTTAAAAAAAAATCAGTTGAAAATATTAAAATTTCAATAATGTTCTCTACAGATGCTACAGGTTGTGTTTCTAGAGAGAGATTTGGGAGAACCCCCATTATCAGACGACCCAGCCGTGCTCTCACGAGAAATCAAACGTCGTATAAGAAATATTTCATTTTTATTTTAATAAATTTTGTTATATTCAAATTCTGAAGATAATTGTTCTTATATTTTTAGAATACAGTATTTCTGGGGGGTTTTTTTGGTGGTATGCTTGTACATTTACGTCTTTCTATGATAACTTGTCACCCATACTTAAATTACTTTTCCCAATTAAAATATAAGAATTCACTCACTTGTCTTTATTTTTATTTCTAGAAAATTCTTGAAAACATAACCATTGAAAAATTAAAAATGTTAGCTTTCCGTGAACCTAGCCAAAAAAGATTAATTTTATATTCTCAGTGAAGTGAAAAAATATGTAAATGTTTCCCAGACTTGTGATCTTTATTAATGATTAAATAATCAACGCTAACATTTGACTCGGTGAGTGATGTATCGATATATCTCTTGTAAAACAAGTTTTACTTGATATGTCCTGAAAATTTTTATCTAAATAATATGGTAAGTGGAGCTGGTAACTTAATTGTCCACTGAAAAGATAAACGTTTCAAATTATGCATCCAAAATTCGGAAAATATTAATTAATCCTTTCATCTTTATAATAAAATGGGTCTTTACTGCAAAGATTCCCAGGTGACCATTCAATATATTCAAAATATTCTAATAGCTCTTCTAAACAACAGGATAAGATACGTAATGTTAATTATCACACGTGATGTTAATTATCACTTATGATTAGAATTTCTCGGCCCTTCCATGCGGTTCTGTGAAGTCGATGTCAGGTCCAATAGACACTATTCCATAAGGATTAATGGAGCGCTGACTCATCTGTAATAGAATACACAATAAGACGGACATTTTCCAGTCAATGTATTGGAGTAATCTCAATAATTCTCATCAAAATATTCAAATTTATTCCAGAGGAACAAAATGCACTTACCATGTAATGTTTTTTAATATGTTCCATGTTCACAGTTTGTGCAATTCCATCTGTTTGGTAGATATCTCTTAAATATGGCCACATATTAGGATAATCCATAATTCTTTTCTTATTGCACTGGAATGGTTATACAAACTACATGTATGTATAAATCAAAGATGATATTTCATACTTTTGTTTATGAGATTTGTCTCTTGACACTGATGAACTGAACTATTTGTTTTTTGTTTTTTTTTGTTCTTTTTATAAATTTGATTGCTTTAAAATGTTCGTAATAACTAAAGTGCATTCCATAACTCATAAACATAACTCAGGCCCGTAGGAAGCAATTTGGGAGGGGGAACTAAATAATTTCAATTTGGGGATGGGGACACTTTCAAACAAAACTTTCTTGACAAGCAAAAAAAAAAGTCACCAGGACGTTATTTCTGAGGGGGCACACGCATAAAGTAGCTCCGTTTTCTATAGTATAATTCGGCATAATTATTGGGGACACCCCCTTTCCCTCGGCTCCTACGGCCATGCAACTTCCTTGAAAAAAAATATCACTGCCTGGCAAGAATAATCGAGTGTTCACTTAATCAAACATCTGTTTCTCTATGGCGGTATTCACATTTTATGTGACTACTTACATGTAGTTTACTGAGGTAGTATCACTTTAAAAATAAGTAGTCTACATAAAAATTAATATATATATAATTTATTTTTGTTAAAAGTGACATATAGGTCCAATGGGACGGGTGTTTGAATATTTAATTGTATTAAATGTTTCTCATTGTACTGTATAACACACGTTACTCTAATAAATGATTTACTTACAATAATTCCAAAGGGAAACATAGCTTTTTGATGTTGAATTGCCTTAATTATCACGTTTTTAAAACGCATTTAAAATATAAATTAATTCAATATACATGTATTTTGGAATTTTATATAGGACACATTAAAAAATTATAAACTCCGGAGAAATCACTTTAATGTTGACAGAAAGAAATGAACTAACTAAAGGCGAACTCCAAAGTCTATGACTATTTTACTACATAGTTTAAAAACATCAATGAAGTGTCCAAAATTGAAAGAAATTCTACTTTAAAAGAAATATAAAACAACTTTAAAGAAAAACATCACATAAATAAATAATGTACAATTGTATAATAAATGATAGATAGGTATTTACAATACAGACCTTGAAATGCTGTTCGTAAACTTGATCAAAACGGACCAAAGTGACAAAAAGTCGGATATCTGCCTCCGTCAGTGTTGGCCCTACCAAGTACCGCTGTTTCGACAAAATGCACTCCACCTGATTCAAAAGGGAAAAATACAACTACCAGGAATATGTTGTCCATCAATATTTTTGAGATATATAAAGAATGAATTTAAGAGATACCCAATTCATACGGTATAAACTGAGTTGGGGCAGTTTATGCATTTAAATATAAACCAAAGCGGTTTATAGATATCTCTTAAATTCATCTCTTATGATTTAATTTCCATCCATTGAAGTGCAGGTAAGAAATGAAGACGATTGCCCTTAAAAATGACTTCGCGGATCGATACGTTTTTTGACGCAAGTCATTGTGACATAGGCAACATCGTTCACAGGTTTTTGTCCAATCAAATGGCGCATTACAACTAGAATTATAGTATATTTTTCTATCACATTTTACTGTCCCCCGCTTTCACTGAAGATCCCTATTGATTTTGAGGTCAATAGGTCAAAGGTCAAGGTCATAAATTCTGTCTGTTTTAACACCTTCGTTTCCGCGCGATATCTCGAGAAGCCTTTGCGCTTTTGCAATGAAATTCTATACCATAACTCCCTATGGACCCGCTGGCCACTCTCAAAGTGTCCCGCCCCGTTTTTTTTTTTTTTTTTGTTTTGTTTTGTTTTGTTTTTTTTTGTTTTTTTTTTTTTTTGTTTTGGTCAATTTTTTTTTTCAAAATTCAATTGGAAATTTGTTGATATTGATCAGGCTTAAAGTTTTAAAGTTACTCTCCGTTTGTATTAAAAGTAGCGAGGCACTTTTTTTTAGCACAGGAGCATTTGGAGAGTTATTACATATAAGACAAGTTGCCGGCGGTCTTTATATTCTAATTACATCTATTAGAACTGTTTAGTAAAGGCTAAATTAGACATTATGTGTTGTGTAAAATTTTGACAATATCGAACGTGAGTAAAAACATGTTTACGTGACCTGCTGTTTGCATTTAATTTGCTTCAAAGTCAAGCATCTCGTTTGTAGAAGGGTATGATTCTCGCTTAGCTTCTCGTGAAAAGTCCCGGATTCCCGGACGTTTCCAGTTTTTTGTTGTTGTTTTTTTTTTTTTTTTTTTTTTTTTTTTTTTTTTTTTTTTGTTTTTAAAATGTTTTTTTTTTTTCGATTTACTAAATGGTATTCAACATACGAAATGAAGACATTATGACTCTCTAATAAAATCATTATTACAATGTGATAAATATTTTATATAAAAAGAATCTTCTGTAAACGTTTAAGAGATCAAATCTGTATCCATATTGACATTTTTTATTTGCTTCAGTATATACATTTAATAATTCTGCAAATCCGGGGGGGGGGGGGGGTGCGAACCCACCCCTCTCCTAGATCTGCGCATGCTCTTCTTTTTTCTTCAAATTCTATGAATTAGCTTGTTTCAAATAGAATCTAACCTTATCCAGTGCTTTGAATAAATCATTCACCGCCTCGTCATACGCTTCCTGTGACGTAGCAAATCCAGCTCGGTAAACACCATTGTTTATATTTCTGTTAATGCAATAAAAATCACATCCTTATTAATAATATATAAAAGTGAAATCCTAAAAGTGTAATTCATAGCCAATTCTTTGATCTTAAAAAAAGAAACAAGGGCAAGTAACAAGAGGCCCAAGGGCCTTAACGATCACCTGAGTACAATACAACAATTTAGAAGATCCATAAACTGATAAATGAAGCTTTGTTGCCCCAAAACCAAGAAAAATAGTATGATTAGCATTTTTATTTATCTATTATTTCCAAGTCTATCTGATCATTAAAACTATGAAAGTCCTTTTTGTATTATACAATAAATATTCTTGCATAATTCTTGTATTCTATTAACATTTCAAATACATTGTTTACAGTGATTAATTATCAAAGGTGAATGGTAAAGGGGAATACCTTTGCTCAGCAGAATACAAGTTAATAGAGCCCTGGCCAGTACCAAAACACTTGACTAAATGGTCCAGGTGTTCAAAATTCTGGTAAAAATACCTTTGCAGATTAAAAATTTTAATCTGTTTGCTTCGAATATGCCCAGAAGCATAGAAGATTTTCAAAGAAATGCATTTTCACTATATCATCAAATAAACAAGAGCACCGCTAAGCGGGGCATCCCCTCGCGCCAGGAACTTCACCGGTAATGGCAATGTCTCCATACGAGAGAAATTTTCTCAAGAGGGATGTAAAACAAGATACAATCATCTAGGCCTAGTAATCAAGGGTACCCAGTATTACTATACTGTATATATAAAGTTTAAAATAAGGTAAAGAAATTAAAATGTAATGCAACACTAATTATATTTTAACAAAAGTCAAGGTGGATATCATCGGGGGGGGGGGGGGGGGGGGATAACAAGCATACGTGATTGGGCAGTTTCCCTTATTCCTAGCAGAAACATATCACGTATGCTGTAAATTTCATTGATTTACCTACCTGAGTAGCATGCAATATGCATCAAATCTGAAAATACGCACGGTAATATTTTTTTTGTAGTGAAAAATGACAATATACCTGTGTTGAGATGTCAATGAAACTTTATATTTATAGCTTTCAAGAATTATGTGCGCCTCAAGATTAAATTCCACAGGCCCCTATTGTAAACACACACGTGAAGTGAATTGGTATTGAAACCGCGACGTTCATCAAATTATTTCAGTTACTCAGTGACAGAGATGACACTTTTAATTCATACAAACCTTTCTCAAGATACGCAATAATATGACAATACGCGAATACAAAGTAGAACCAGTGACTGGTAGAACTTACCGAAGCTGCTCTATCGAAACGACCCGAATTTTAACCTGTTAATTTTACCGGAAGCGAGTATTGTCAACTCGTACATAAAATTGCAGGGTTTGAAGGTAGTAAAAACGCGATATTTTAAGAACTATATCACCGATTAACTTGAAAATGAATAGGGTTCGTCCTTTTATAATGCTACATAAGTATGTGAAGACTGAGAAATGATAGTGCAAAGGTTCTCTTTAAATCTTGCCCACAAGCTGTTACAGACACACTAACACACTAACACACACACAGTAGCGATGCTATATCCCCTCTGCAACTAGTTGCGCGAGGGGATAATAAAGCCCCACCCTTACACCAGAACATCTGACCCAAGGGCCATGAACTCACAATTCTGGAAGAAGCACCCTTCCTCATCATAACTATACACTTGATTCTTTGCTTTATAACCAGTAATAGAAAAAAATATTTTGAAAGAAATTATGCATTTTCACTATATAATCAATAGCGCCCCTCCCCCTCCCCCCCTTCACCAGAACCCCTGACCCAGTCGCCATGAATTTCATAATTTTGGAGGAGGCATTCTTCCTTATCATAACCATGCACTTCCTTTGTTTAAATAATACCAAGGAGCAGAGATGAAGATTTTGAAAGAATTCATGCATGTTCCCTATATAATCAATAGAGCCCCGCCCTAAGACAAGGACCCTTTACCCACAGGCCAAGAAATTCACAATTTCTGAGGAGGCAGCCATACTCATCGTAACTATGTACTTAGTTTATTTAATATCCAGGAGAGAGAAGAAGATTTTCAAAGAATTAATGCATTTTCACTATATATTTCTATATATAAATAGAGCCCCACCCTAACACCACAACCCCTGACCCAGGGGCCATGAAATTCATAATTTCGGAAGAGGCAACCATGTTCATCATTACTATGCACTATGTTAGTTTATTTAATACCCAGGAGCAGAGAAGAAGATTTTCAAAGAATTAATGCAATTTTACTATGTAAACAATAAAGCCCTACCCTAACACCTGAACCCCTGACCCAGGGGCCATAAAATTCACAATCTCTAAAAAAGGCAACCATGCTCATCATAACTATGTACTTAGTTACTTTATTTAATACCCAGGAGCAGAGAAGAAGATTTTCAAAGAATTAATGCATTTTCACTACATAATCAATAGAGCCCCACCCTAAGACCAAAACCCCTGACCCTTGGGCCATGAAATTCACAATTTCTGAAGAGGCAGCCATGCCCACCATAACTATGTTCTTAGTTTGTTTATTTAATTCCTAGGAGCAGAGAAGAAGATTTTCAAAGAATTAATGCATTTTCACTATATAATCAAAAGAGCCCCACCCTAACACCAAAACCCCTGACCCAGGGGCCATGAAATTTACAATTTTGGCAGAGGCACTCTTGCTCATCATAACTATATACTTCGTTACTTTATTTAATACCCAGAGCAGAGAAGAAGATTTTCAAAGAATTAATGCATTTTTACTATATAATCAATAGAGCCCCGCCCTAAGACCAGAACCCCTGCCCCTGGGGCCATGAAATTCACAATTTTGGAAGAGGCACTCTTGCTTATCATAACTATGTCCTAAGTTACTTTATTTAATACCCAAGAGCAGAGAAGAAGATTTTCAAGGAATTAATGCTTTTTCACTATATAATAAATACAGCCCCACCCTTACATCAGAAGCCCTGACCCTGGGGCCATGAAATTCACAATTTTGAAAGAGGCACTCATGCTCATCATAACTATGTACTTACTTACTTTATTTAATATCCAGGAGCAGAGAAGAAGATTTTCAAAGAATTAATGCATTTTCACTACATAATCAATAGAGCCCCACCCTAACACAAGAACCCTGACCCTGGGGCTATGAAATTCACAATTTGAAGAGGCACTCTTGCTCATCATAACTATGTACTTACTTACTTTATTTAATATCCAGGAGCAGAGAAGAAGATTTTCAAAGAAATAATGCACTTTCACTGTATGATCTATATAGCCCCACCCTAGCACCAGAACCCCTGACCCTGGGGCCATGAATTTCACAATTTTGGTAGAGGGCTCAATGCTTATTACAATCATGCCAACAGTTTGACTGCTTGATGTACAGGAGTAAAGAAGATATTTAAAGATTGCATTAATTTTGGTGGTTTTAGCCCCATCCCTCAGGCCCCAGGGGGGCAGGGACCATGAAATTCACATTTTTGTTCCCCTTCACCCATAGATGCTATATGCCAAATTTGGTTGAAATTGGTTAAGTGGTTTCAGAGAAGAAGCTAAAAATGTTCAAATGTTAACGCACGACGACGGACGAAAACGGATAGCAATAGGTCACCTGAATGACTCAGGTGACCCAAAAAATCCAAATCCAAAAGATACCACAAGGACGTAAACAATAGTCTGGGGAGTGCAAATTAACTATCGATTCGATATTATTTTTATTTCAATTCCAGTCTTCTTATGGCCAGTTATTGCTTATACATCCATTTATTTGTTTGTTTCCATGGAAACAACATAGTGAACAACAGCTTCTGTTGCAGTAATTTTGATACATTTTTATTTTATCAATTTAAGTGTTCGTTTGTGTATGTGAGGGTAAGTGCATGATTAGAAGTTGATCAAGCTCCTAGTCTCTAGTTTTGTATAATGATAATATCAATATAATATAAGGACTATTCCTGAAGTATAATAATAAGGTTGCCAAGGCAACTGCTTTTTTTTAATGAATTTCTATTTTAATGCAAGTGAAATGACATGGTTAATTAGCATGATTTATTTTATTGAAGAAGAAACATAACATTCAACGATTGTACATTGATAATATCAATAATAATAGGGACTTGTTCCTGGACTATTTGGTTGCCGTAGCAACTGTTTTTTTCCCATAAATCATGAATTCCTTTAAAGGGGCTTAGACATAGATTTGAAGTTAATATTTTCTCAAATTTTCTGTATAATATCCTGACTTATATGTTGCTCAAGCATTTCACACGGAAATACAATGAAAAACTTATTTTATATAGAAATTATTAAGACTACGAATTTCGGGACGCATTTGATTGGCACATCCTCGCACTTTCACAAAGTAAACTTTATCCTTAATACACTTAAGAAAAGAAGAAATTTTGTTGTGTATTAATGAAAAATATTAAAACTATAATCCAGAAAATTCGGAGTAGAAATGTGAGAAAGCAAAACCAACTCACTAGTATTGTCAATCCATACTCAGTGATGTGTGCAGAGTTTAACAAATTGAACACACCCATGAAACGTAAACTCTTTTTGTAAACAGGACACGAGCTCTGTTATTGTTATTGTTTATGTTTCACGATACGGGGAGTGTTCAATTTGTTAAACTCTGCACACATCAATGAGCATAGGCTATAACATAGCTTCATGAAATGTGCCGGCGTGAAGCGTTGTAGTTTATGTCCTCATGAATTCTCAAAAATTAAATTCATCTCTTAAGCAAAATAAACCGTCCCTGGCAACTTGCTATAAGCGTGTTTTACTGTACAAGTTGTAAAACCCTTAAAATGATAACTCGATGTGCAAGGTAAGATAGTTAAAACAAGAAGGCTGTGAGCGAATGCTCACTAGTAATACCCCCGCTGTGTTGTGAACATACACTCTCATGTTGACATCGAATTCATACAAAAATGAATTCCACCATTTGGCATGCCTAAACAAAGATTGCGCTAAAATTTCAAGCATCTGCACTGAACAGTTGCTGAGAAAACCAAGACAGAAATTTGGTACGGACAGAAGCAGGGATAAACAGGAAGTTGACATCAGATTCGAAGAAAAATGAATCCAACCATAAGGTATGCCTAAACAAAGATTGTGCTAAAATTTCGAGCATTTGCGCTGAGTAGTTGCTAAGATTATTGCGACGGAAATTTGATACGGACAGACGTATGGACAAACAGGAAGCTGACATCGAATTCGAACAAAAATAAATCCCACCATTTGGCATGCCTAAACAAAGACTGTGCTAAAATTTCAAGCAGCTGTGCTGAGTAATTGCTGAGAAAATTGCGACCAAAATTTGTTACGGACAGATGACGCACAGATAAACAGGAAGTTGACATCGGATTCAAACAAAACTGAATCCCACCAAATGGCATGCTTTAACAAAGATTGTGCTAAAATTTCAAGCATCTGTGATGAGTAGTTGCTGAGAAAACTGTGATGAAAATTTGGACAGACACACACACACAGACACACACACAGGCAGACAGACAGACAGACACACAAGGGTAAAACAGTATACCCCCTCTCATTCGGAGTGGGGGTATAATAATTGAAAAATGCATTTCATATTAATCAAAATGATTTCTAAAAAAAACAGTTTCAAAATAATGAAATATTAAAGTTTAACACATACTAGTACTTGTTATTATGAGAACAACACTTACGGATAAATCCATTCATTTATTTCGTCTATCTCTTTCCTTAGTTCCTCCGGGTAAAGATCAAGTTGTTTACCTTCCTGGGTTTTACAGAAGGCATTGAATTCTGAATTTAGCATTCTTATGATTTCACTCGACTCATTGTTTACTATCATTTTCTTCTGTTTGTCCCATAGAACAGGAACGGTAACTCTTTTATCGTAGTCTGTTGATAAAGATGTGCATTAATTAATACATAAAAACTAAGTGATGATATACTGTGCTGGCTGAACAGTATTCTTCAAGGCTCCACAGGACAGGCATTTTAAAAGAGTTATGACTGTATGAACTCCCCAAAAACAAAAAAAAATTCTCATAGTTAAGGACAGATGATACAAACAAAAAAATGGATGCCTGGATTGATATATATTTTTGACCTATTTTGGTTGTACATGATGCGAATAATAAATTTCTAAAATATAAAAAATTTGTAAACTTTCTCTGATGCTCAAAATTCTACCTTTCTGCAACCATCCTTATGAATCTATACAACTTTTAGCCACTTAAAATCCCATTATTGTGAAAATTTGAATAAAAAATGAAAATCTATGCGGTTATTCATTTTACTCCTTTGAACATGACTAAAGTTGTTATTTTCAAGATTTTTGACAAAAGTTTGTTTGTATCATCTGTCCTTAAATTGAAGTCAATTTTATATTTCACATGCTCCTAGGTTTATTAACAAATACTTTAGATACAAGAGAATCACTGAAAATGAACATCAAGGGAATTAAAGATATCACAGAAGTGATTTAATACGTCCTGCATATACGAGGGTTGTCCCAGAAAAACGCCAACATTTTTGATATTTTTTGTTTCAGTAATATTATAAAGTTAAAAATAAGAAAACATCGCTGACAATTCTATTTTTGAAAGTCAAAAAAAAAAAACAAAAAAAACAAGAGGCCCAAGGGCCTTGAATCACTCTTCTGATAAACTGTACAACCTATCACTTCTATTTGAAGCCTCTAAGTATCCAGTATATTTAGAAAAAGCCTTGAAATTCCAAAGGTAGGTCATCATGACCTACATTTTAGATGAAACACTCTGAGAACCCAAGATGATTCTAAGCCAATTAGTACCTGAGAGTAGGTCATGGTGACCTACTTATCACCACATTCTCTGAGGACTCAAGATGCATCAACTGACAAAGTTAGATGATTCTAAGCTATTTAGTACCTGATATATTTAAATAAAGCCATAAAATTTCAAAAAAGGTCACAGTGACCTCCATTTCAGTCAACTAATTCTGTGGACCAAGATGCATCAACTGACAACGTTTGGTGATTCTAAGCCAATAAGTACCTAAAAATATTTTTAAAAAGCAATAAAATTTCAAAAGTAGGTCACAGTGACCTTCATTTCAGTCAACTGAATTCAAGGACCCAAGATGCATTAACTGATAAAGTTTGTTGATTCTAAGCTAATAAGTACCCAAAATATTTCATTATAGCCATATAAATTGAAAAGTAGGTCATGGTGACCTACTTTTCTATAGCCGTACTCCAAGGAACCAAGATGCATCAACTGACAAAGTTTGATGATTCTAAGCCAAATAGTACCTAAAATATCTAACTTAAGCCATAAATTTTCAAAAGTAGGTCACAGTGACCTACTTTTCAGTTGTTGTACTCCGAGGACCCAAGATGTATCAACTGACAAAGTTTGATGATTCTAAGCCAATTAGTACCTGAAATATTTAATTAAAGCCATAAATTTTCAAAAGTAGGTCATGGTGACCTACTTTTCAGTCGACCTACTTCGAGGACCCAAGATACATCAACTGACAAATTTTGATGATTCTAAGCCAAATAGTACCTGGAAATATTAAATACAGCCATAAAATTTCAAGAGTAGGTCAAGGTGACCTACTTTTCAGTTGTAGTACTCCAGGGACCCAAGATGCATCAACTGACAAAGTTTGCTGATTTTAAGCCAATTAGTACCTAAAATATTTAATTAAAGCCATAAATTTTCAAAAGTAGGTCACAGTGACCTACTTTTCAGTCGACTTATTTCGAAGACCCAAGATACATCAACTGGCAAAGTTTGATGATTCTAAGCCAATTAGTACCCTATATATTTAATTATAGTCATGGAAATTGAAAAGTAGGTCATGGTGATCTACTTTTCAGTCGACCTACTCTAAGGACCCAAGATACATCAACTGACAAATTTTGATGATTTCTAAGACAAATAGTACTCTAAATATTTAAATAGAGCCATAAAATTTCAAAGTAGGTCAGGTGACCAACTTTTCACTTGACGTTTTTCGAGGACTCAAGATGCATCAACTTACAAATTTTTATGACAATAGGCCTTAAAATGTCTAAATTATGCTTTGAAATCGAATGCTTGCAAAGTTCAAAAAGTAGGTCACTGTGACCTACTTTTTAATAAATATGTTTTATGGCCCCAAGATGCATCATCTTACTAGATTTAATGACTCTCAACCTCTCAGTATTCAAATTAATGACCTTAATTGTTTTGAATACGATTAGCTATAAATTCAAAAAGTAGGTCAAGGTGGCCTACTTTTTAGTTGACGTACTCCGAGGACCCAAGATACATCAACTGACAAAGTTTGATGATCATAGGCCTTAAATTGTTCGAAATATGCCTCTAAATCATTTTGAAAAAGGAAGGCCGCAAAATTTAAAAAGTAGGTCACCATGACCTTCTTTTGAGTCAACGTGATATGAGGTCCTTAGATGCACCAACTGACAAGATTTGATGATCCTAGTCCTTAGAGTAAGCAAAATATCAAGATTTTAATAAAATGTAATTTTTGGTCAACTTTGAAGTGACCTTGAGACCACGCTCTTTGCCCCAGGGTGATGCCTTGAACAAATTTAATCTACAACATGTCCTCATCCCTTTGTGTAAGGTTGGTGATAATCTGCCCAGTAGTTCTTGAGAAGAAGATTTTTTAGCAACCAGTACTTTTGTTTCTATTTTCCTAATTATCTCCCCTTGTTTAAGGGTCACAACCCTAGTTTTAGTATAAACGAAAGCCCTTGGGCCCAGGATACCCTGTGACAAATTGACAATTATTGGCCAAGGGGTTCTTGATTTATGGCCCATATTCTAAAAAGTTTACGCACACCGCACAAATGGCCATAGCATTAGCTCTTTGAGCCTTTGGCTCAGAAGAGCTAAAAATGCCGTGCGCCGACCGCCGATATTTAGCACCATTTAAATGCCGTTTCTAAATGCATATGACATTACAACCTTAAAGTATTTTGTCAAAATGATGAAAATATCATTTCCCAACATTGTGCAAAAATTGAATAATTTTGGTCGGGTAGTTTATGATATATTTGAAAAGTTCGCGTTTTTCTGGGACAACCCTCGTAGAAATCAACATATTATACAGGTATTTGCTTACAGAACTACACCATATTTCATACCTGGATCTGCTTTCTTGTAGACATCCTTCAAAAACTTGAATCCGTTCTCGGTATCTTGAGTACAGGCATCTCTCTATCAATTATCAATTGAGAACAACAAATAAAATTATTATTACATAGGTATAATTTTCTGGTTTCGTTTCTTGTCTCTTTTTGTTATATTTTCTAATATAAAAGCAACCTTCTCGTTGAATTCCCAGCCTGTTTCAAAATTAAGCATCCAATCTACGACGTTAACGGAAATGACGTCTTCTAAGCTTTTTAACTTTCGAAGAATCAATGTCCGATGTGCCCAGGGGCAGGCTAAAGACACATATAAATGATATCGCCCAGCTTCCGCCTTATATCCTGATGATCCATCAGCTTTAAGGGAAAACCTTTCATTAGTGTACATATATGTAAACTGTTTTAAATATCTACACAGTCACTTGAATTGGATGAATTGAAGGTAATAATCTTTTCAAAATATTATTTTAAAAAAGCAAATGTTAAGGCTTTGAAACATTCTTGACCTTCTGAAGGATCGGTTACCTGTAACCCAGTTTCTGAAGGAAGACTGCGCCCTCTGAAAGGCTCCCTTCTTGTCTATGACGCTTTTCCCTGTGGTCCCCACATGCTCGGGCCGAGCAGCGTTGTCCATTGTTATTCTCCGAAAATTCTTCCACTACACTGTTACTGAAAAAACAGATTCTCGTTATATGCAGAAGCTATTCGAGTTCAATCTCCATGAAAATGTTTCAAAATGAAAGTCAAGTTCTAGAACATGATGATCAGCCATTTTCTATTGTTGACATGTAATCCATTAGAGCAAGACGTATTAGGCGTTTAACTCTATTATATACCTGTAAGTACACCGGGTAACATCGTTTAAGGTGGTATGGGATACCAAACGAAACTTCTCCTACATATTTATGTACCCAAATTAGAAGGATTTGAAATACGCCCACCTTTCAGTATATTAAAGTGTAATTTTAATAATTTTTTATTATTTTAATGAGAAATACAAAAACGATTTTTTTTTCTTGCATAATTCTTTTTTCATAAGCTTAATATTATAGGCAGGCGTTTGCTAATATAAAGTGTTTATAAAAACAAAAATGACAAGAAATATGTCTTAGTATTTTTTTAATTTTCAACAAAAAATAAGCGTAAAAAACTGGGAAAACTTTATTTCTTGAAAACAGACGGATAACATTTCATGAAAGTCTACAATAAGAATGTATCTTAATATGTTAGCAAAGTGAAATAAACAAATTGAAAATATATATATAAATGGAAAATATAAAATGCATTTAAAATTTTTTGAAATAAAAGATCCGAGCGGAAGAGTTATCCTTCTTTATTTTCCAAGGGTTGAAAAAAACTGGGTGCTATTTTAGAAATGATGAGCATTTTTTCCCAACCATAAAAAAATCGCACTTTGTAGTTTTCAACTTTGAACGGTTTTGAAAACAATGCATGGACAATCGCTTTCCAGGACGTGTCTTGTTCAGAGCAATTGCATTCATCTGAACGTTTTGGGACTATATACAACAGCTAGATGATTTGTGACCAAACAGTTACTTCTTGAATTAAATAACAAAAAAGTCCAGCTCTGGTTAACGTGATAATTGATTGGTGATAATTTAGCACAATGTGAAGTAATCGCACTTATCCATGCCTCACCGCACACAAGGTGCTGTACAGTTACTCAAACAATTGAAATACAGCTTTTGCTTAAAAGTGTTCAAAAGCAGCAATGTTGAAACTACCTTTTACAGGGGTTTGCTTTTTTAAATGTCCGTTGTACAATTATAAGTAAATTTATATACTTGCGATTTTTTTGTCTGTTTTTACTTAAAATGCCGACTTGTGAGAACTTGCATTGAAATAGGCTTCAGAGTGTTCTTTTCAACGGTGTATCTACAAATTTTGACCCGATAATAAGCACTCATGCAAATCAAAACAATACTTCAAACGGAAATACGTCATAACGTAGAGGTATCCCATACTACCTTAAATGCCAACCTGATGGTAAATCTCAGATTCTGGTGTGTTAAACGCTTGGGCATGGTCAATTTGTTTTTTGTTAAAACAATTTTTTTAAATTACTATATACAGAATAATACATATCCATATCATCCCTGCAGATCCACATCAACCCTACAGGATCCGTATAAGCCCTGACAGTTATACGGCTATTGTGACATAAGGATATGCAAAAAAGACTAAATTTATTAATTTATTAGTACTAAATAAAATAAAAAGATTTTTATATCTCTAAAAATTCTTTCCTATATTAATATATACAAAATAGTGTAACATTTCCAGTGTTTTATTGAACGGTCCAAAAAATCAATGTTGGATCGCTGACTGAAATATTGGACCTGTCGATGAGATATTACACCGCTATGACGTTTTTACGTCACACTGTAGGTGGAACCAGCTGCAGCTTATCAATTATCGCAAATAAGGAAGCCAGCGCAAGATATGTCAAAATAAAAAATAAGATCAAAAGATCAAAATAAAAAATAAAAGGTACAACGAAACATTTACTGTGTTCTCACGGACAAAATGCATTTTGACGACCCCTCGAACCAACTGTTTGCCTTATCCTAACGGCCTCAGGCAAACAAATTGGTTCTTGGATCCGACAAAACACATGTTGCCTGCCCAGTCAATAAATGTATATTGTTATCTGTACTTGTAAAAGGCATGTATATATCTGTTATATAAGTGCAAGGTTGATATGCTTTTCTGCGAAGATGATATAGCTTATGTGTAGATTGACCGAATGATAAGGCTACATCTGAAATATATCAAAACAAGATGTGTTTATGAAACACTGATGCCCCCGTATGGCAGCTTATGGCGAAGGTTAAAGTTTCTCAAATGCAAGTCAAAATCCAGGCCAAAAGATAAAAATATTGGTACCCAAAGAAAGGTCTTGTCTCGAGGAATATACCTGTGAAATTTGAAAGCCCTAGCTGCAACTGTTCAAAAGTTATGGCCAAGGTTAAAGTTCTTAAAAAAAAGTAAAAAGTCAAGGTCAAAGTTGTTGGTATCCAAAGGAAGGTCTTGTCACAAGGATTACATATGTGAAGTATGAAAGCCCTAGCATCAACCATTCAAAAGTTATGGCCAAGGTTAAAGTTTTTCAAAAGTAGTTCAAACTCCTAGGTCAAGGTAAAAAGGTCAAAGTGGTTGGTATCCAAAGGAAGGTCTTGTCACAAGGATTACATATGTGAAATATGAAAGCCCTAGCACCAACCATTCAAAAGTTATGGCCAAGGTTAAAGTTTTTCAAAAGTAGGTCAAACTCCTAGGTCAAGGTCAAAAGGTCAAAGTGGTTGGTATCCAGAGGAAGGTCTTGTCACAAGGATTACATATGTGAAGTATGAAAGCCCTAGCACCAACCATTCAAAAGTTATGGCCAAGGTTAAAGTTTTTTTTCAAAAGTAGGTCAAACTCCTATGTCAAGGTCAAAGGGTCAAAGTGGTTGGTATCCAAAGGAAGGTGATGTCAAAAGGATTACATATGTGAAGTATGAAAGCCTAGCATCAACCATTCAAAAGTTATGGCCAAGGTTAAAGTTTTTCAAAAGTAAGTCAAACTTCTAGGTCAAGGTCAAAAGGTCAAAGTGGTTGGTATCCAAAAAAGGTCTTGTCACAAGGCTTATATTTGTGAAGTATGAAAGCCCTAGCTTCAAACATTCAAAAGTTATGGCCAAGGTTAAAGTATTTCAAAAGTAGGTCAAACTCCTAGGTCAAGGTCAAAGGGTCAAAGAGGTTGATATTCTGAGGAAGGTCTTGTCACAAGGAATACACATGTGAAGATTGAAACCCCAAGCACCAACTGTTCAAAAGTTATGGCCAAGGTTGAAGTTTTTCAAAAGTAGGTCAAACTCCAAGGTCAAGGTCAAAAGGTCAAAGTTGTTGGTATCCAAAGGAAGTCCTTGTCACAAAGAATACACATGTGAAGTTCGAAACCCCAAGCACCAACTGTTCAGAAGTTATGGCCAAGGTTAAAGTCTCATAAAATTTTGCAAAAGTGGGTCAAACTCCAAGGTCAAGGTCAAAAGGTCAAATTTGATGGTACCCAAAGGAAGGTCTTGTCACAAGGAATACACATGTGAAATATGAAAGTCATAGTTCCAACCAATCAAAAGTTATGGGCAAGGTTAAAGTTGACAACAGACAGACAAACAGACAAACAGACAGACAGGACAAAAACAATATACCCCCGGGATCTTTCGATCCAGGGGCATAAAAATTCATTATAATGTAGTACAAGGTGATGTAATGTGTACAATTATAATGTAATATATATACATGTATATATATCATATGCATATGCTTTAAATTACAGTAAAATGTGTTGTCAGTAACGATCTACTTATAAATTTCACTTCAATTCTCAATGACCGTCAGTAGCCAGCGTGGCGCATTGGCTAGAGTTGCGGAGTAAGGGGTTGATCCTTACTTCGCGGATTCGAATCCACAGTGTGACGTGGAGACCGGTCGGTCCATGTTGCATTTGGTGCTGGCATGAAAAAAAATCCCTGACTGCTCAAAGTTCGTAAGTGCCGATTACAGCTCTAAATTTGCAGCCATCCACCGGAAAGTGGTGGGTTCTCAATATGAGTGAAAAAATTCTCCAAGGGACGTTAAACAAGCAAACAAAAAAATCATTGACCCTGTAGCGTAAGACATCATCGCTACTGAAAGCTAGTTTTTTTTTTAACTTGCTTAGATGCTAGAAGACAGGTTCCACAGGTTAAGAGTTCAATCCCGGATCAAGGAAGAAGTGAGTATCCTTGTATAGGGATTTTTCTGTTCTCTCTCTCTCTCTCTGGTACCGGTCATACTTTATCGATGATCTCTTTCGTTTAAGGGGAGAGTGCTTGCCACCCCTACCCACCCCGTTATTTTGCCGATATATAGAATACTATAAAGAAAACATAGCTACTATATGCTTGTGCCCCCTCAATAAAAACATTTTTTTTTTTTTGCTTATCAAGGAATTTTAGGTGGTTGATAGTGCCCCCCAACTGAAAATGAATGGCTGTGCCTCCTCCCCCCCCCCCCCCGACTGAAATTGCTTCCAGGAATATTGTTCATAAAGAAAACCAGGGTTACATGATAACCATTTTACCACCTCCGTTCTTTTGATGGACTTGACAATGATTGAGCATACATATTGAATCTAAAACATGATCTTGCAATGTTTCAAAATGCCATAAAATTTATAAGTACATGTATAATCCAAATTTTTCAACCGCTTTAAATTTTCAAATGCGATATCCAATATCTACATATGATTATATTAATTGAATAATTTAAGTCCTCTGCATTCATTCACTTTCACCAAGTCGGGGCTGTTTGTTCCCAACGTTACATTGAGGTACATGTATATAAAGACAAATTTGGGGAACACAGCATGGTCAACGACAAACATTAAATTGATAAGCAAGCATGCAAGTGCTTCACAACTGCTTTAATAAATTCTGTATATTCTAACTTGAGGCTGCATTATAGTCAATTTTTTTAGTAACAGAAAAGCAATATTTTTATGAAAATACAATTTTATTTAAGTCCAGAGCAGTATTGTATATTAATTTGATTGAGTCACTCCTAGGACTATAATTTCTTGTCAAAGTGAATTTTTGTGTCGCCAGCAGAGATCACTTTACCCGG